TAACAGGAACTTACCTTAACATAACAAAAGCTATATACAGCAAACCAACAGCCAACATCAAATTAAATGGACAGAAACTCAACACGATTCCTCTAAAATCAGGAACAAGACAAGGATGTCAAATCTCTCCATACCTTTATAATGTTGTCCTTGAAATTGTAGCTAGAGCAATACAACAAATGGAGATCAAGGGGATTCAAATTAGAAAGGAAGAGGTCAAACTTACACTTTGCAGATGATATGATAGTTTACATAAGTGACCCAAAAGACACTACCAGGGAACTCCTGCAGCTGATGAATACCTTCAGCAAAGTGGCAGGAAACAAAAACAACTCAAGAAAGTCAGTAGCCCTACTGTATACAAATGATAAAAGGGCTGAGAAAGAAATCAGAGAAACATCACCCTTTACAATTGCCGCAAACAACATAAAATACCTTGGGGTAACTCTAACAAGTGAAAGATCTGTATCACAAGAACTTTGAGTCTTTAAAGAAAGAAATTAAAGAAGACACCAGAAAATGGAAAGATCTCCCATGCTCTTGGATAGATAGGATCAATGTAGTAAAAATGGCTATCTTACCAAAAGAAATATACAGATTTAACACAATCCCCATTGCAATCCCAGAAAAATTCTTCACAGACCCTCAAAAAACAATTCTCAACTTTATATGGAAAAACAAAAGACCCAGGATAACCAAAAAAAAAACCCTGTTCAACAAGGCAACATCCAGAGGCAATACCATCTCTGATTTCAAGCTCTATTATAGAGCTATAGTCCTGAAAACAGCTTGGTATTGGCACAAAAATAGACAGGTAGACCAATGGAATTGAATTGAGCACCCTGACATTTAACCCATACGCGTATGAACACCTGATCTTTGAAAAGAAGCTAAAATTACACACTGGAAAAAAGAAAGCATTTTCAACAAATGTTGCTGGCACAACTGGAGGCTGACATGTAGAAGACTGCAGATACATCCATCTCTATTGCCATGCACAAAACTTAAATCCAAATGGATCAAAGACCTCAATATAAATCCAGCCACACTGAACCTGTTAGAAGAGATAGTGGGAGGTACCCTTGAACGAATTGGTACAGGAAACTGCTTCCTGAACATAACACCCGTAGCACAGACAGACACTAAGATCGACAATTAATACATGGGACCTCCTGAAACTGAGAAGCTTCTGTAAGGCAAAGGACACAGTCAGCAAGACAAAAAGGCAACCCACAGATTGGAAAAAGATATTCACTAACCCCACATCTGACAGAGGGCTGATCTCCAAAATTTACAAAGAACTCAAGAAGCAAGTCTCCAAAACACCAAAGGATCAAATCAAAAAGCGGGTTACAGAACTAAATAAAGAATCCTCAGTAAAGGAATCTAAAATGGCTGAGAGACACTTGAGAAAGTGCTCAACATCCCTAGCCATCCGGAAAATGCAAATCAAAACAACTCTGAGATACCATCTTATGCTCATCAGAATGACTAAAATCAAAAACTCCATTAACTATTTATGCTGGAGAGGATGTGGAGAAAGGGGAACACTCCTTCACTGCTGGTGGAAGTGCTGACTCATACACCCACTTTGGAAATCAGTATGGAAATTCCTCAGGAAAATGGGAATCAGTCTACCACAAGACCCAGCAATTCCACCCTTAGGCATATACCCAAAAGATGCACATTCATACAACAAGGAAGTCTGTTCCACTATGTTCATAACAGCATTATTTGTAATAGCCAGAACCAGGAAGCAACCTAGATGCCCCTCAACTGAAGAGTGGATAGAGAAAATGTGGTACATTTACACAATGGAGTACTATTCAGGGGAAAAAATCAATGGAATCTTGAAATTTGCAGGCAAATGGATGGCATTAGAAGAAACAATCCTGAGTGAGCTAACCGAGTCACAAAAAGACAAACATGGTATGTACCCACTCATATATGGATTTTAGACATGAATCAGGGGAGTGCCAGCATACAATCCCACTGCCATAGAGTCTGGGAAACAGAAAATTCATCCAGTGACTGATGGAAGCAGAGGCGAACACCCACAGCTAAACACTGAACTGAATTCCTGGAATCCAGTGACAGAAAGGGAGAACTGATGAGCAAAGGAGTTAAGACTGGGCTTGTTTGACTCACAGAAACAGTTAACCTGAACAAGGGGGAGTTCTTGAACCCCAGGTTGATGGCTGTGTGGAAAGCATGGGACTGATCCAAAACCCCTGAATGTGGGTGTCAGTGAGTAGGCCTAGGTAACCTATGGGGCCTTGGGTAGTATTTATCCCTGGCATACAAATAGACTTTGAGTGCCCATCCCATAATAAGGGATGTTCTCTCAGCCTGGACTCTTGTGGGAAGGCCTAGTCCCTGCCCTGGATGAAATGACAGACTCTGAGGATCCATCATGGAGGGCCTTACCCTCTCTGGGGATCAGAGTGGAGATTGGGTGGGGGACTGGAGGCCCTGGTGGGGATGGCAGGGGAGGAGGGAAGGGAGAGGGAGCTGGGATTGACACGTGAAACAAGTTTGTTTCTAACTTATAAAATAAAATGGAAGAGAAAAAAAGCAAAGGGAGATCTGGACCATCATCCATCACTCTAGGAAACTGTGTCTAAGAAATTCCCTGGCATGGACAAGATTTAGCAGTATGGACATAGAATGGGCATAAATGAGAGTGTTATCCACTTTTGATTGGGTGCTCAGATTAATAACGCCAATGAAGGGGGAAGTATATTGCCAGGTATCACATTTCTACAGTAGTCTGGGAAGGAGATTTTCCCTTCATATCTTTCTGGTGTCACATGGTTTGAGGCACTGATTTCAAGTGCACAATATGCTGCCATTAAAAGCAAAACTGAAATCATAATGGTAACTCCTTCACATCAACCCTGCACATAAGCGCTGGCCCAGCATTCATGGGGCATTCTCACTGGCTATAAATAAAACAGTCATTAGAGCTGACAGGAAATTTCAACAGCAAAGTGTCAATCACTCCCTATCATGATCTGAAGTCTAATTTTTTTCAAAGTGACTAAAGTTGAAAAGGTCCTCCACTGGGTTTTCTTTTTCTCTTTCAGATTCAAGTCTCTAAGATGAAATTCAGTTGTGCTGAGCTACTAGTACCAAGCAAGACTGCATAGCCCGTCTCATTGAATTCTCACTGAGTGGGATGTGATGGGCCTGACAGTGGGGCTGGGGCTCTAAGGACCTTCCCATGGAAGTGTTTCTCAAGAGACGTAGAAGAAAGAAATGATCTGAAGCTCGGCAGCTCTTAGGATACCTTCAAATCTTTCCAAGTCTCAATCATTTCAATGTGCAATCCAATGCAGCAGTTGCCTATCCCATGTGGGTGTTGACCAGTGGATACCTATGGTGAAGTGACAATCCCAAGGAGAAGAGTTAAGTGTAAAACACACTATGCCTTTCCAAGACAATACAAAGGCTGCAATACAATATGGGTACACACCACACACACACACCACACTAAACAAAATATTAGTAGCATTACCTTTACCTATTTCTTGTTTGTATTTTTTTTAATGTGGCTACTCAGAAATTAAATTTTAAATAGTTTCCATTGCGTGTGTGTGTGTGTTCCAAATAACATAAGGAAGAATCTAGAAGATATTTTCAAACCATGCTCATAGCAACATCATTCAAAAGAGAAAATTGGGAACTAGAGAGATAGCTCAGAAGTTAAGAACACTGCATGCTCCTCTAGGGAACCTGAACTCAATTCCCAGCATCCACATCAAGTGTCTCACAACTGCCTGTAACTACATTTCCACAGCACCCAACATCTTCTTCTAGTCCCCAAGGTACCTATTTAAACATGCACAAACCCACACACAGACACATAATTAAAATACATTTTTGAAAAGTGAAAAATCATCTAAATCTTCATCAACTGACGGACTGATTACACAGAATGAAATATTCATGTAATAGAGCCTGACTCTGCCATTAAAAGAATGAAATTCTACCAATGACCAATGTGTGCCACAACAACGTCAGACCTCAACAACACTGTGCTAAGGGAAAGAGGTCAGTCAAAACAGACTACAAATTACATTATTTTCCTTTGTATAAAAGTCCAGAATAGAAAAATCCACCAAGATATAAAATATGTTTGGAGTATGGAAACAGTGAAGAATGATAGCAAAAGATATACAGTTGTGTTTTGAAGCATTTCAAATAGTTCATAGGTGTCTATGATAACTATGAATATCTGTAAATCTACTGAATCACACATTTTAAGTATGTGAGTTGTATGTGAATGTCTTAGTCAGTGTTCTGTTGCTGTGAAGAGACACCATGGCCAAGGCAACTTTCATAAAAGAAAGCATTTAACTGGGGCTGGCTTAGAGTTTCAGAGATTTAGTCCATTGGCATCATAGGAAGAAGCATGACAGCATGCAGTCAATCATAATGCTGGAGTAGGAGCTGAGAGTTCTACACCAAGATCTACAGGCAACCCTAGTGACACACTTTCTCACTTCCAACAAGATCACAACTTCTAATCCCTCTATGTAGTGACACACCTGATAAGTATGCATTCAGATATATGAGGAAATGAGTGGGAAATCCTTATTCAAACTACCACAGTGGGTTATATTTCACTAATGCTTCTCTTTAAAAGTGAGGGTGGGGCTTGAGAGATTGCTCAGCAGTTAAGAACACTGGCTGCTCTCCCAAGGACCCAGGGTTCGATTCTCAGCACCCGCATGGTTGATGATAACCATATACAACTCCAGTTCCAGAGGACTGGACCCTGTCTTCTGACCTCCAAAGGCACTAGGCAGGCATGTGGTACATAGAAATACATATCATCAAAACACCCATACACACAAAATAAAAAAGTGAGAGAAGCCCTCAGAAGAAATAGGTTGAAAGAAGGAGAAGAAAACCCTGGTTCAGGAGGCAAGGCACTCACAAGTAGACAAAAGTGTGCATGGGAGATTCTCCGCCCCCCCTCATAAATAGATGCTCACCAAAGCATGCCGGGTCTTTAAAACGCCATAAAGATGTTCACTGCTGCCATAGTTCAGGAACCCAGTTGCTACCAGGTGAAGGCACTCTGGGTTTGTTCTCTCCACAGAACGGTACACTACTCTACACAGGCATCAGCACACAGTTTCGTTAAGAAGCAGGGTATCTGTAAGAAGCAGTTATGGAAAGGAAATGCACATCAGGAAAAAGAAAGTTCAAAGCCCCTGGTCCTGGTTTGCTTTTGCTAGTGTGTAAAACAATGGTCAAGACCAGCTCGGAGAGGACTTTTTTTTGCTTAGGATTATAGCACATCATAGAAGGAAGCCAAAGTAGGAACTTAAGGCAGGAATTGATGCAGAGACCAAGGAGGAATACTGCCTACTGTTTGCTTCCTGTATCTTGCTCAGCTTCCTTTCCTATAAAACCCAAGCTCACTGGCCTGTGAATGGTACCACCTAAATAGGGTTGAGTCCTGGCCATGTCAAACAGCTGCCAACAAAATGGCCCTGTGAATATGTCCACAGGCCAATTTGATGGGGACAATTCTTCAACTGAGATTCCCTCTTCCTAAGTATGTCTAGGTTTGTGCCATGTTATTATCAAATACCAAAAGTATATCATTGCATTAGACAAATATAATGTAGTATGTAGCTGATCACATTAACAGAGAAAACGCAGATAGTTACTGAGTGAATTTGTGATGAACCATTTTGCTATCTGAATTGCACAGAACATGTTTTACCTGAAACAGGAGATGTTTCTCCTGTAGCAACATCTGCAAAAAGCCAGAAATATGACAAATGCCGTGAAATCAGAGATGCTTCTCAGTGTTCTCTTTTCAGTTTTCCCCAGTGTCTACTCACAGAATGGAATGAAAAGGACAGCTAAGCTGCCTCAGGGAAACGGAACTTGTGACCTCTGAGTCTTGTAACTGGAAGAATGAGGGAAAGGCTGGTGTGCTCTGCCCACGGATGACTGACAGGAATCCAAGGACTCTGCAAAGAACAAAGACATGTGGTCCATCGGCTCTGTGTGCTTCCAAGGGGGCAGACAGTAGGATACACACACACACACACACACACACACACACACACAGGCATGTACGCACACACGCACATCATAACCAGGAAAATGCTACAGCACCTACCTACCGCAGGACTCACAAAAACTTGTCTTCAATTGTGTGAACACTGTTATGTTCACCAGACTCCAAAGGATTGGCCAGGTATTCTAGGGCCTGTGAGGTGACATAATAAGGGTGGCATGCAATTAGAGTGTGTTCTAAACCACAATTTGAGGCATGGGGTGTGATATTTAGGACCTAACCAAGGTAGAATTTATTTATCTTTAGAATGAAGCAAGCAATTTGGGTGGGCAAGTGATTCTATCCTATGAAGGTATCTTGGGATTTGACTCCTTCTATCTCTAGAAGTGAGTCCTGAAGAAAAACAAGAACATGAATGAAAGTATGTTAGAAAAGATTATGACTTATACTAAGATAAACCTATGGCAAACCATTCTCAAGTACGATTGTGCAATTTAAACAATTCATAAATTACTTTGATTAGTGCATATTTTTAATCCATATTAATCCCTGGGTGAGTTAGGGAAACCATTCCCAACAGAAGCTTCTGCTGTTTTTTATCACACATTGACCTGATCCAATGGTTCAGAAGCAGGAAACTCCCTCAAATCTGAGACTACGATCCATCTCTGTCTGCCTATGGCTCTGCACATATCTGGGCATATCACGGATATTCAATGATCATTTAGTCAGTCAATCTTTTCATTCTCACATGTCAAGCTAACCCAGATCCAGGTTGGCAGGGAACAAAAACAAATCATAGCTTTTGAGACAGACAGGTGTTAAGGAAAATCCCAGGAAAAGAGCTGTGTCTGGAAAAAACTGATTAACTGATTACAACCAAAGTGAAATGGAGAGGTTGGGATGTTACAGGTCCACAAACTAATTACCTTATCTCAAGCCAGCCCTCAAAATTGTCATTGTCATTCTCAATTGTCTACCTCTGTATCAGAACTAACATCCTGTGACTAATAGAAAAAAAATTGTATCCTGTTAACTTAGCAGACCACTAGCTTTCATCAGCCCTAAAGCTAATAATGCCTGAGGCCAGGAAAACTTCCCCCATCTTGATGTAAACAACTCTCTGATGTTTCCACCAACATGTTTGAAAAGAGTCTTAATTTGTGGTTTTGTTTTATTATAAAAGGTTAATAAAACTGCTTCTGAATTGAATCTGGAATTTGTGGTAACCTGAATCTGTGTTTTCAAGTCATGGTCACTCAAACATGGCTCTAGAATAAACTGTCTTAATTTCCTTTCAGGTGAGACCTGTCAACACAAGTCTGGATTTGAAGGAGTTCCAGACACATGCCTCAGCGTTTATTTGAATTATTCAAGTTGAATTCTTTTGTGGAAATGTGCGCACTTCATCGTCTAGAAAGAGATAGTGCTTGCCTGGTTCTGTGTAGATTTAAATGGCAATGTGGGAGAATACAGCTCGATGGTAAGAGTGCTTATCTAGCATTGTATAAGACCCTAGGTTCAATATCCAGTACTACAAAAAATTAAACACCTTAAAACAAATAAAATGTGTGGAAGATCTAGCAAAGTTTTGGATCCATAGAATGTTCTGGAACACTGAAGAATGATCCAACAATAATCTTATTGTCATTCCTCAGGTGCTCGCACAGAAAATGAATGTTCAGGGCCCATTTATTCCTGAGTAGAGTAATTCCAGAACTAATTCCAGTACTTGAAACACTTATTTTCATCTCAAAATGAGGCAGGCCAGGGCTGGAGAGTCTGGGCATCTCAGGTTATGAGCTTCTGATAGGAACCAGCTGATGGGGTGCACACAACAGTAAGGCCAAATAATGACACACTGTAGATAGGTTTTGTAAAAAGCTGCTGTCTCCAGACCAGAAAAAAATATTCTGTTAGCATTCTCAAATAGCAGTGGTAAAGTGCATTATGAAACCAGGCATTACTGTTATGATCTATCATTTTTTATATCAGTTTGTCATTTTACTCCTCTATATAGGATATTTCTTTTAACCCATGGCTCGAGCCAAAAGCTTAAGTGTCATTCTTGACTCTCCTTTCTTTCACAATCTATACCCAATCCATCATAAAACTCTGCTGGCCCTATTTCCAAGTCTAACTAGTATCTGGCTTTTCTTTTCACCTCCAGTGTGATAGGGTGGCCACAGTCATCTAGATGTCATAGGGATGAAACATAAGAGGCACTTCTAAATGGTAACATGGTTGCTACTATTGGATGCTATAGTCTATTCTGAGCACAACAGTCAGAAATCACCTTTTTAATACTTCTGTGTCGGACTGGAGAGATGGCTCAGCTGTTAAAGGCTAGGCTCACAACCAAAAATATAAGACTTCCGTGTCACACCAGGGTGACTCTCCAACAGCCAGAGTCCTAAGGACAAATTTGGTATCTACCTGCATCAGACCCTGAGGACACTCCATAATGGTCCTGCTTTAGCCACAAAGGACTTGCTTGTCCAGAAACACAAAGGACACAGCCTTGTCCTGGCAGCCTTTGTTCCTATGAAAATCTCTTTCCTATTCCCTCAACTCCTTCATGTCTTTGCTCGAATGTGTCTTCAGTGAGGACGAGGACAGTTCTGACGTCCTGACCACACTAATTAAAACAAAAGCCCCCCAAACCCCATCAATGCACACAGGTATGCACTCACACATACATGCTGAACCCTCTCTATTCCCCATTCCTGATCTCTATTTCTTCTCAACATCATTCTTATCATCTTCTAACATTCTGTTCAACCTACTTCACCCTCCCTGGCCCTCCTTGCTGAAAGCAAGCAACTTAACGACAGAGATCTTTTTTGTTTCCTCCTTGCCTTCCCCAGAACACCTAAAATTTACTCTGCCACAGTGTTCATCTCAGAGTCCATACTCAGTAAACACTGCACCAAGAAATATGTATTGCCTCACCATTCAAAGAAATGTGCCTATTTGTAGAAAAATGAGTGAATTTCTATATATGCAAAAGCTGGGACTGGGCCACTCAGCTTCCCTCTTTCAGCATTAAGAAGATACAGCATGGATTATAATCATCTGAGTTCTTACGCAGAAGATCCAAAGAGTCTCCTCACATGAGGCATGGATTCCAATTTTCCAGGAAGTTAGACAAAATTAATATGAGGCAAAAATAACAATGAGTCAAAAATGATGTCATTTTCCTATTACAAAATAAACACAGTGAAGTTTTCCATTTTGGTTATAAAAGTCATCACTATGATGCCTATGTTGTTATACCCTCTATGTCTATCACTAAACTGTGCTTTGGTGATCTGTTATTATTTCCATTTATTTTACATGTGTATCTATGAATAAAGTGCTAATATATTTCTACTTAGATTCACCCTTAATCTAAAAACTTTTTTCTCCATAGTCGTGTCCTCAAAGATTAAACAAAAGGAGCCAGCTAAAGACAAGGTTATCAGAAACTGAAAACCACAGCCCAAAGGCTAAGCTGGGCCCATTTCTTTTTTATAAAGATAATTGAAACAGTTGTGTCCATTCATTTAGCCCTTGCCTATGGCTGTTTTTGCACCTCATCAGCAGAGTAGAATAGCTGTGACAGAGACCATATGACCTCAGAACCAAAAATATTTACTATCAGGCTGACCCTGTATTAGGTCATCTAACTTCCTATTGACTTTTCACAAGCCGCTGCTGAATGCTGCATAAGGTCATTTATTGAGCACCAACTATGTGCCAAGTCCCTGTGAATGGTATATTAAGGTAACATTCGCAAACATCAATGATATTTACCAGAGGTCACCACAAACAATTATCACTCTCTCCCCTTCATTTCAGAGAGAAAATAGAAAAAGAGTGTGAGATGAAATTGCTGAGTGGCCGGCAAGCCATTGTCCTTCACCAAAAGAATGCTGCTCAATGCTTAACAATCAAGAAAATAACAGTGTAGACTGAGAACAAGAGAAACAGGGATAAGTAATCCTTTCTTACCCTTACCAAATGAGTGATAATGCATGTGACTGGAGTTGACAGCATCACTACTGCATCACAGCAATGCATGCGACCAAATCTAAAAGTCCTTAGGATTGTCAAGGGGCAGTGTGATTCCAGTTCCAGTCCTCTACCTGTGACATCCAGCACCTGCAGGGGCTGCATTCCAGCATACTTGCCAGGGAGACGACAGCACCAATACAGACCCTGATACATACTACTGCTTCAGCCAGTGCTTTTGAGACATTAACTAAATCTAAATGGTGACCATGACTGGGGCTTCAGGCTGCACTGTCAGATACCCCCCAAATGGACCTTTGTCCCTTCAAGGCTTCCATTCTCTTGCCAAACTTGGAGAGTCACACGTGCCCGAGTGAAGGGTGGCCACCTGTCCTCAATAAACCTAGTAAAAAGAGACAAGCAATGTGGAGAGCAGAAGGGATTTATTCAATGTGATCACATTACGAAGAGAGACAAAGAGGTCCACTGAAACCATCTTTCAGGTTCAGAAGTAAGATCAAAATTCAAATGGAGGAGCTGGACAGTGATGACACATGTCTTTAATCCCAGCACTCAGGAGGCAGAGGCAGGCATATTTCTGTGAGTTTGAGGCCAGCCCGGTCTAGAAAGCAACAGAGAGAAACTGTCTGGAAAAAAAAACCAAATGGAGGGCCAAAGATATGCACTTCTAAATAGACCCATTAAAGTGTTGTCACACCCACCATTGACCCATCACAATCTGGGCTTCAACCTAGTCCTGTAAAGCGATCTCACAAGTTGTTAGAATTGTGTGAAATCTCTTCCCCCTCTACCTGGTGCTCTTTCTTCTCCCAGAATTAGATTCCTGGGGAAACCGCCATTTATGTAGGGTCCATTATTTCCATAGTTCAATCTCAGGTTGAGAGATCCAAAGTGTCTCGTTAAAATGTCTTTATCTCTTTCGGGCCTGTTACATCCCTTCTCCATATTTGGCATGTCGCAAGCTGCATTTCAACAATGAAAAATCCCTGGAAATCAACCAGCATCCCAGGACCCTATCCCATCTCTAGTGTTCTCTTCAACAGAACGGTATTGAGTTAGGTAAGCATGCTTTAAGTTAAATTCAATAACAATCTGTTTATTAAGGATGCATATTAAACCTCCAGAAAATTTTACAAAGCCGTGATCTGATGAGTTTCTGTTCAGTTAAGTTCATAGTA